CCTACTCAGGCCCGATACTCATCAACGTTTCAACCTAATCCTAATAGTTAGATGTTCTTCAATGTTCTGTAGTCTTTGACTCTCAAAACGACAAAATTCAAATTTTATATTAACCTTATTTTTTGTTATATCATCTTTTAAATCTTTTAAATCTTGAAATCGTGCCAGATACTTTGAGTAGTCTAATTTGAATTTGACGATGGAATGTTGTAGCCTTATCGAATCCTTGCTTATATCTGAAGTTTCGTGTGTATTGTAATTTGTCTTTGGGGAGATAGGCTGCTGAATTGTTTCGAGGCAAGTACGTGGCAAACCCCCTAACAATGTCAAACGGAAGGATTTTCTTCGAATTGAGGCAATTTTATTCGGAACCCGGTCTTTGGGCCGCAGCAGGATAAACTCTGTTGTCTCCAAGAGGGCACCACACGATACCCGTCCCCATACAATTTAGGAAGGAGCCGGATCAACTAAAATGCCCTGATGCAGGGAGCAGATTGAGAATAGTGGGGGGGTATATTCTCATTGTTCTCAAGGTGGCTCGCTTCGAGCAGAAGTGATCTCTCGTCCGTGCTATAGTAATGTACAATACTGAGACATTATCTCTAATTCCAATGTTCCCCGGTCGCTAGAACAAGGGTGGCACGGGGGCTGCCTGCCGTTGAAAGTAGCATTGGCAACTCCATCTGACCATGGTCCAGGGATGTAAATTAGCTTTCCATTGCGTCGGTACTGCACCATTATTCTGCAGTGGCTTTTCCAAGATGGCACTACGGTTATTTGCAACACTAAATAAAATAGACGAAAAAAACATCATCGTCAACACGACAAAGGAACCCGATAATAATAGAAAGACTGAAATTTTTTCGTAAGACTATTTAGTTGTGCTCGCATTCGATACTCAATCTCCGTACTTTTCTAGGATTCAAAAGCTCATCTAGGATAATAGCAAGGGCCACTTGCCGGCCTGCTTTCCGCTGTATGGCTGATGGAACTATTAGGGGTTCGCTGCCGAAAAACTGAATTACGGAGTACACTATATTGGTAAGTGGGCCAATTGCTAATGAGAATACTTTACCCGGATGTTCGTTCCCTAAGACCGTGAAGGGGATCACCTCGGATGAAGTTCGTCCACGAAGCTTCTAAAAGCTTAGATACTATCGACCAATGAAATTTAGAAGATTTATGTATTCTGCTGAATTAAGCAACTGACCTAGAGATATCCACATACAGGGTTCAAATTGAGATCTCCACACCTTTCCCATATAAAGCCCATTAAATACCCTTAGTGGAGCAATGAAACATGGGCCAAGTGCCCAATTAACAGATTTTGAGTTATCGGGTCAATCATATTTCGGACGCAAAATTCATTGGAGCGCATCCTCTTCTTATTCAAACTGAAGGTAGACGTGGTGGAGTTACCAACATAGACGATAATTGTTTCATCTTAAATGGTAGCATTGTAAGAATCAGCCTTCCACAAAAATCTTGCTCTTCGAGCCAATTCCTCGGCGTCAGTTACTCCACCAGAGAAAACAAACCCCTGTTCTCTTGAGTAGTCCACAAGCTTTTGCGCCAAAGGCTTATGCTTACGTTCATACGCAATAGAAGCCTCCATGAGTACTTTGGCAATCTCGGCATTGCTCGCATTCGGGCTGAGAACATGAATACGAGGATTCAGTTCTTCGTGTAAAAAAGTAGTGACGCCAATGAATCCGGTTGCCATCGAGCCTCCGATATGAGGTAGCATTCCGTTGGCAGAATCACCGAAGCTCGTCATACAATGACTTTGGTTGGTAAAAGTACCCAAAGTCTGCATGTGAGTCAGTTCAAGGCATACACAACCACCTGGTTGATCGTTAAGCAGCTGTTCGATTGTTAGCTCAAGGAACAACACCATTACCGCCATTATCCTGAATGCTTACCCTCAAGAATTTCTGAACTTTGGAATTCGCTCCGGGAAAATAAGTAAGCAGCTCATTGGTACTTGTTACGTAGTTTCTTCCACGCTTTTTCTGAACTTCCTCCATTGAGAATGCCGCAATATTAACGTATTTACCACCATCAATGGGGAAGGTTAATACGTGCCAACCTTTAATACCAAGGAACATAGATGTATCTGTAGTGAATCGCTTTCCAATCTCTGCCTCAATCTTGCTGCTCTCTACTTTTCCTCTGAATGTCACATGGCCTGAGTAAGCTGCAGGTATGTAATCCTCGCCCTGCACGAACTTTCTACACAGAGAATTCATACCATCACACGCCCACAGGGCATTTGCGTGATCTTCGCCACCATCTTCAAATGTCAGCGTTAATTCGCCATCAGTACTTTTGTTTACTGATTTAAGCTTTCTGCCGTACTGGATTGGAGTATCCTTGGGACCGAAAGCATCAAGCATCACCATAAGCTCATCACGCCCAATTCTCCCGAAGACTTCTCCCTCTGGGACACGAATAGTATGCAAATGATTGTCTTCCTCCCCGCCATGGTAGAATTCCATCCACACAGGGTCGGCTAAACATTGGCCATGCAGTTCCTGGTAGATAGCTGGATTAAGACTGCAAGATCGGGGAGTCAGTATTTCCTAACAGGACTAACTTTTAGAAGAAAACGTGACAAAAAGAAGCGTCGGTACAGGATATGGAAGCAAAAGGAGTAGATCAAATGAGACATGACAGTGGAATTTAAAACGAGGAAACAGAGTAGAAAAACATAGGATTTGATGGACTGGTTAAGCTTACCGTTTCGTCGTTGCAAGCGTTTGTGGTCCAATACCATAGCCAAAGGCAGGACGGAGAGGTAATGTTTCGGCTTCGAATTGTGTATACTCAATTCTCGGATGAGCAGCTACACTACTCAGAAGCAGCTTACCAATTGGCCCACTGCCTATCACACTGATTCGAAATTTTGGAGCTTCAGGCATTTTGAAAACAAGAGTGTACTTAGGCCCTATATTTTCCAAAATAAGAACGAGATGAGAATATATGGTATTAGAATGGGAAACGGGCACTCTGGTTGAAATAACTTACGTATATTCCAACAAAGCAGGGGATATAAATCGATATGCTTCCAGATTCAGAGAATCTAACCGGATTTAATTGGCCAATTTATATGATAACTGATGCTTGCAAAAAAGTCAAGGTCAATGACCCTCCCCCATTTTCTTTCGCATTGGCCCACAAATAATACCTGTTCGTACTAAATATCAGATCATCGATTGCACAGTAGGTATTGTACCCCCGTACGATACCAGATGTCCCTGTATCTGAATTGAAAGGGTCTTACTCCGTATTCGCGATGTTCGAGATCTTCCCAGGCCAAAGGCTCTCACGTAGAAATGCAATTGCGATGGGTAATGTATCGAATTCGTGACATGAACAGAAAGCATTCCCCATTTTTGATTATCATGCTTGATTGTCTCGAGATTGTCTAGACCGGCGTATCTGGTCATGCTATGTAGTGTATAAGTAGCTACACCAAAAAGTCTCGGAAATATCTGCGTGTACAACCATGGTACTCTTGAAAGACATTCAACAGGCAACGCATGAGAGGACTGAGGTGGTGAATCATATTTTAGGGGACATCGACTCCGTCAGACGATGGGCGATCGCCATTTCTTTACCTTTTCGGCCTGAAAAGACGCGTGAAGAAAGGCTATAACAAGAAATAACACCTTCTGGCTAGAAAATCCATTTCCATGGTATGAGGATGCTGTCCATGTGCGAGGAGTTACATCGATGGTATAAGAACATCATAATCTTTGAATAGTCGTTGATGTGTGTCGTGAATTGTTTCTGTTTGCAAGGTAATATTCATCACACAATAATTAGCATTTCGGCTCATTTCGGCCACCGTATCCTGGTATCCTGTCTCTCCCTCTCTCCGTATCTCTCTCTCCCTCCCTCCCTCCCTCCCTCCCTCCCTCTATTTCCACGCAACACATCAATTGCTGCAATACCGACCTTTGCAATTTAAAATGCGATGGTTAATTTTTTATCATACAGTCATAGAACTGTGTCCTACTAACCTAAACCCCTCTTGGAAGCAAGACTCGAGGGTTCATCAGCGGTTATTGATTGCTGTAATTTGGTATGGAGATTAGGAGTCTCGTCACAAGTTGTCCCCAAAGACGCTACAAACTCATGTCAGGAGATATCCATACATCATGCAAGACTAATCGAAGTAGGAAAAGGGAAAGATGCCAATCGTTGTTTCTCAACCAAATTTATCACCTGATATCGTCTCTTTAGTGTCGATAAACCTGTTTGAAATTTGGGGGACACTGCGAATTCTCATGTGTTGCTAGACTTGTCAGAATCACATCAATGTTTTCAACCACCAAAAAAACCCGTTCTTGAGTATTCAAGTTGCTTCTACGTGAAAAAGCGAATATTTCATCCCTTCAATTACATATTTTACTAAGTAACAGCCGCTTGATGATCTTGGAACTTACGAACGCATGGTTTTCTTCGAGTTAACAAGATTACTGTACTACTTGGCAAAGGTGTCGAAATATCACAAAAAAAGCACGAATATGCTTTACCTCCGCAATACCAGAAATCTGTCCCGGCTATGTTCAATGTCCTCAAGATTCAAAGACTTTTCGTTAGAAGCCTTGCAATAATCTAGGTTTGCAATTTCTTCGTTGGATTGCAGGCGCCTCGGTGGGTATCAGCGTTTAACCCCCTGTGAAAATCATCGTCTATTTTGAATAACAGAAGATTGGAGCGGAGAGACGATTTTGCAGGTAAATAACTCTGATGGGGTCATGAAAGGGAAAATAAGGATTTTGGTGGAAGCTAAATATGGAGTCCTAAACTAGTAAGTACTCACTATCGCTCATTTTGTCCCCCTCAAAATTCGCTTCTCCCGAGTTCGGCAAACTATTTGTAAGATGGATTGTTAGTGAAACACCTTCCCACCATTGACATGATAAGGCATCCCCTCTCAAATCTCAAATTAGAACCCATAGTTACCTGGAGGATACAAACCTGTTACTCAGATGCCTAGGGATAAACGCAACTCCAAGATTTTGAAATGGTATACTGCGCGGCTATCAGCCAATCCATCGTCTTGGCGGGGTAGGCGTAATACAAAAGTATCAGTTGCCCTTTGTTCAAGCTAAACAATACTTTTATAACAAATCCCCTTCGTTCAAAATTCAACGAGACCATCTCAGCCTAATATGGACTCTTTACGATCAGGCGTTGAATCATCTAAAGAAAGATTACCGATCACCGCATTCGATTTCAGCAGCTCAAGAGGAGAATAAGGCAACAGCCAGGAAATCTGAAAGCATGTCTCTGAAATTCGCAATGCAATGTCTGGCAGTGATATTACTGAACATATTTTTGTACAATACTGTTCGATACTCCTCGGCGGGAAGCACGAACTACGGTAATTGCTCCCATGAGAACGCTACTTTGAATTCCTCGAAACATGAGATTGATCTAATCAATTTTTCATCAGAATTGAAGTCCGGACGCAGGAATCATGGGAACGATCACCCATCAGCATGGTTGCTTGAAGCAGCAGGTGCTTACACTAAAAAGGCATCAGTGTCATTCAGCGATATCGCCGATATCTGCGCCGATTACTCTGGGGATGAATCCCCTTCCCATTGTGCAACAAGCACTATTGCGTCTGTACTACTTCTCGGCAGGTCTATACTTTCCCTTCGATCAGAGCTTATCAATTTTACCACTCCGCGCCTTTCGAATAGACGACCACTGAATCCCAACATCGATCCACCAGCTCTACTAGACACGATGTACCCTAATCCTTCAGAATTTCTGAAAGCTGTACCATACTATTTTACCAATACTATCGGCTTTCCTGTGGATCACGTAGGGTATTATTGTCCCCTCTCATCCCCATGCACCAACCCAGTATTCAGCATCTCAACCCATCAAGATGTTCCCTTGCTCTTCACATTCCTCCCTTCTATCCTCGGTACCCACACAGAAGCTCTCAAGTTTGGTTTCGGAAATGCGACAGGCTACCACTTTTCTACCAACAATTTCGCAAATGGTGGCTTTGATATACTGTTTGAAAAAGCAGAGCTTCCTATGCTTGATCCTATAAACGATTACTATCAAATGAAACAAGAAGTACATTGCCTTCTCAGTGATGGACTGAAACTACCTGGTCTCTTTTTCAATATTCACACTCATGGCTCTAGGGAGAAAGGCCTCCGTGGGGCAATAAGCCCATGGACCCTTAAGGAGAGAAGCGAGATAGAGCGAATGGAGTCGATCATGACTTTGGAAGAGAACATGACTACTTGTGCGGCGGCCATAGCAATACGGCATTCCAAGAGAGTAGAACTATGGCTTCTGGGGGGTTTAATTCTGGGAATGGCTGGCTCAGGAGTAATTGTGTCGATATTTTCTCGGTGGCTCGAGAACAGGCAAGGAAGGATTCGTTTATAATTCAGGAGTAGATTACACGGCGTTCGGTAGATCAAGGTATCGGGGAGTTATTATTTTATCCGAGAAAATAGGGGTTTCAATACACAGAGACCTGGTACAGAGTAGACATCGAGATGTAATAATACCATGCCTGAGTCGGAGTCATATTCGATAAATTAGATACCAATTCAATGTATATTCATAGTGCCAATATCCCACTTCATTGTTGAGATATATAGTCGTTTGACCAACACCCAAATCGCCCGATAAACTTCGCAACTAAGAGAGCCATTTACCCCTGAATGAACTTTGCGACTCCGCCTAACCACTCAGCACCTTATCCCCAATCCTAACTAAATCCTCATTCGACAAAGTCTCTTTCTCAATCCCCTTGACTGCCTGTTCCAACAAAGTCGCCGCAATCTGGCCAACGTCCACTTTCGGAAGCCCAATCAGACTTCTCCCAATTGTCGATAACACACTACCCACCCACCCTTGCCGATGATCCGGTCCATCTATCAGTCCCGGTTTCGCTATACATACTTCCACCATTCCATTTGAGACTTGAGCAAACTCGATGACACGAGATTCAGCTTCGCCCTACCAAATAAATCATTACTCAATCCTTCCAAACAGGAAAAAAGACACATACCCGCATCAAAAGATAATGCCCCATAACCCAAGACTGTCTACTCTGATCTCTCTCACTTTTATGTCCACTAACATAGATAAACCTAAATGGTCTCGCATCCCTTTCACGCGGAAGCTGGGTAATAATTTCCAGCCCGCTTACCGTGTACTCTACACAGATTTTCTCGCTTCATCTAATGCTGAATCTTTCATTTTAGAGGGAGTTATTGCTATGAGCCTATGGTGTTGATTAGCATATCAGCAATCAACCGAATCCTGAATTCATAATCCATAAACGAAATAATGAAGGGGTCAGTAATTTAATGGCTGAGAAAGAATTAACAACAATACCAAATACAAGCATCAGTACCCTCAAGTTCCCTCCTCGCACTCTCCGAATAATTTGAAAAATCATCACAAGTGACAGCTTTGATTTTGGTGATATCAGCATTATCATCCAGGATTTGGGGTACAGATATTTCGCGACGAGCAAGTGCTATAATGGATGTGACGTCTGGGTTGGAAAGGGCTTGTTTGATGATTTCTGTGGCGACGAAACCTGTTGAGCCGGCGATGATGAGTTTCATGGTTGTAGATATTTTGACGTCAAGTTGGGTATAGCAAGTAGTTTGTGAAGAATTTCAAGTGATTAAGACTCAGATTATAAGTTCAGAGCGAGAAATGTAAGCAACCTGCTAATAAGCAGTAGATAGCGCCACCAACTATTGGGGATGTCGGGGTTTGATGTTCGTTAACTCCATATGTAATAGCGTCCCAGGCGAGAATACTTATGATTGTCATCACATTCTTGAACAATAGACGAAAATGGCGTACAAACCCGATCAAGGACAGCGAATGGGTAAATCAAAAAAGTAAGCAAAGTCAACGAACCAATGTTTATTAACGGCAACTACAATCAAACGGTGGATGAAATCAATGAGAAAAGCAGAGCATCAAGCATCTCTCAGCAATCACATACACCCACAGCTACTAGAAAAATATCTGAAAAAGTTCCAACCATATTGAATAAATTGGATTGTCTATTGATTAAGTTGACTAGCCAAAAACTCAACAGGACTTTAGTCAGACGAAAATTCGATATTGTGAAAACTTTCAAGCATAAATTCAATCAAATGCTTCAAAGTTATCTAATTATGTTTGCGAACAGAGCAAACCAAGTTAACTAAATTCTCAACTCCATCGCTTATTCCTCGATTCGCCATTCCCATGAGAATTCGATTCCATCCTCCCAATCCTAAATCCGAGGCCGACCAACTACCGAATACAAAAAGGATATACCATACGAATGCATTGGCTATGACAAAGTATATTTAATCGAGTACCTATAAGCTTCTTTACCCCTTCAAAGAACTTATTTCTCATCTTAATGAGCCCCATTTGCCTTTCCACTCCCACTCACTCTCTTTGGATTTCTTCCATTGGTTAATTCGCTCAAAGCGCCCTCATTTCCATCTTCCTCATTTCCTCCCAGTAATTTGTCCATGAAGCTGATGTAATCATACTGTGGCATACCTCTATCCTCTTGTAGATCAGGGCCTTTGTGCATCGGTATGATTTGAGTCAATTTTTCAATGACTTCATCGGGTACCAAACTATGTCTCAAATCCATTTCTGTAACGTATGGTTTGCCGTCCGCAACTTCGCGGAAGGACTGGAAAACTTGCTCCGCTGTATTTTGATCTTCTGTGACATCCACCATAAATCGGATGAATTCTTCAAACGTTACGTAGTCTTTTCCATTTGATGTATCGAGGAAGTAGTCGTGCATTTCGTCTTCGGAGAAGACGAGACCAAGTGATGCCAAGGCTGCACTGAATTCTAACTCTTGTAAACTGTTGGTAGCGTCGCGATCGAAATGTCGGAAAACACTTTCGAATTCTTCAAGTTGTATTGGCGTCAAATTTGTCATGTTACGAGCCACTACTTGGTTGTCCAAGAATGCCAACTTCTTCGCAACCGAATTTTTGACGAGACTCATCTCGTAACAAAGCTCATCGTATGTGTAAGTCGTAAAATCATTCTCCTCAATATTTGCTTCCTCGCATTTCTTGTCTATCGCCTCGATTTGATCTAAGAATTGATTGAGAGGTGGAAGATTATCATGTAATCGGCGTACATGAACCAATTGATCCTCCACATCACCCTCCAATCCTGATATTGCCAATTGCATAGTATTCAAAGTGGTTGCGAAGTCGTTGGCTTTGTCGGCGAAAGATCTTCGTAAGGCATTTTTTATACTAGAATTATTAGCATGATTCAGTTGGCACATGGATAGAAGCTTACTCTCTGATGGTCTCGTTTATCAGTTGACCCCTCGCCATTTCCCCCTTCATTAACTTCGCCCATTCTTCATCCAGAACACTCAGTCTCAACTCTGGTGGTGGGTCATAAGCTCGAAGACGGTATGTGCTGAGCTTCGTCTTTATGTTTCCTAACAGTGCTGCAAGATCGCTTTTCTCTGCAACCCACTCTCTTTTCTGGCCTCTCTTGTATGAACTAAAGTGTGTCGCTTGTTTCTTTGCATCCGCATATGTACCTTCGAAAGTCGCATCTTGCCAAGTAAGAACCTGTTCCTTAATGCTCTTTAAAAGTGCTCTCATTCTCTTCTCGTAAGCACTCTGCATCTCCCAAGCTCCTTGCATGTTGTTAACGAACTTCTCTACTCTTCGACCAGCGTTTTCGACCTTCTCCATCTGCGAAAAGGCATGGAACCAATAGGCTATGTAAGTCATCAAACTCCTCTCATCCGGTTTAGCCACGTCGCAGACATCCTCAACATCCAAAAGTGCCGGAATACCAATTTCCTTAGTAGCGATGTCGAAAGCTAATTGCATATTTCCTCTGTGATCATCCTTATCCAAAGTATCATAATCGATCAGATCTGGGCGATGGATATCAAGCAATGCACAGAATGCTAAACCATCATTCCAACTGTCTGTAAAATTTCGGACATCGACCTCTTCGTAGCAAGCTGTTTTTCTTTGACACCATAGCAATAAACCTTCTTTTGCAGTCATACCCTCCAAATTGATGTCGGAGATGGTAAATCGGAGAATGAGCGTCCAGATCAAGCCGAGTATAATTTTGCGATTTCCATCCACAACATCTTCGGCTCCGATGTTTGTCATTTGAATTCCTCTGGATTTGATGAAGTCTAGCGACAAATTTGCGTTCTCGAATCGCTGCACTCGTAGTTTAGGCTTCGCCGCGTATCGTCCGAGTGATTCGTTGGAAAGGCATTCGAGAAGATGGATGAGGATGACCTAATATGTTAGCATATGAGGAAAACCCTCTCGCAGAGAGAACTTACTCCATCGCTCAAATCTTTAACCAAATCTATTACTTCCAGTTTCCTATGCGCTATCTTGGTGTTCAACCTAGTTTCTAGTAAATAATCATTCATTCTTCGCAAACACAATAGGCCAGCTTACCATTTTGTGAAAGTTTTCTGTTGCACCGTAATCCACTGTTGCTGTTCAGCAAAAGCCATCTTTCCAAGCTGATGCTCATGCAGCGGTTCAACTGCTTTCAACGCTTCCCCTGAGCCTGAAATTGATCCCTTAGATTTATTTCTATGCTGATATCTCTTTCTTCTTCTTCCTAGCCCGAGCTCTTCTTCGCCTTTCTCGGGTTTCTCTGCAGATCTCTGCAATCGTGCTGCCTCGGAAAATTGTCTTGAACGTAGTGTCTCGCGTTCTCTTTGGCTCGCAGATCTTTCGCGCCTTACAACCCTAGGTGGTGTCGCAGGTGGGGTATTCGGAGCGTTTATTTCAAAATCTGTTGTGGAAGAAGAAAATCTCTTTTCTTGATTTTGCGTGTGACTATGATTTTCAATAGGAGTTGGTGAAATTGTACGTGAGTGACGTGGTGATGTGGATGTGCTGGTTTCCTCAAATTTGTTTACTTCTAAATTAGCATTGGCGGTAGTTGCCGGCGGTGACCCCACCAAGCAACGATCGTTGCCAGGGGTATCAAAAATTGCCGAAGCGGCAAGCGGCGTTGGCGTTTGTTTTACCTTGCTTTCTTCAACATAATCACCAATTTCTGATGATGGTGGTGACGGTGGTGACGGTGACAATGGAATCTCAATGCTTTTGGATGATATCGACGGTAACGTTAATTCTGGCGTTGACTCTTCTTCAACGTGGTCCTCGGTAACGTCCGTTTCCACGTGAGTCTCATCCACTCTAACATCTTTCTCGTCCACACTCTCAATTTCGTCCTTGACATCTAAATCTTTCACTACCAAAGTCTCTTTCTCCTTCATGTTTTCCTCTCCCATGATTTCGGCTTCCTTATTGTCATCTTGCAATACCTCTTCTAATCCCAGATTCTGTTCCCTCTTGTTTTTATCTTCCTCTTCCAATCTGGCATCGAGATCTTTCACCACAAACAAATCCTCATCTCTCGCTTCTTCGATTTTTTCAGTCTCTCCTTCTTTCCTTGTCGCATCTAGATCTTTAATCACGATGACATCCTCTATCTCATCATTTATAACATCCTCTTCTTTCGTCTCTTTGTTTGGAGTATCATTTTTTGGCGCTTCGGTCTTTGGCTCTATCCTCAATGATTTCTTTAAGGCGGAAAACATATTGAAAACAAAACTGATTAGAAAAGTCACAAAAGCTTCTAAAATGGCACGAATCGAGAACCTTTAAGTAAAGGATCATAGCTACAATTGAATCTACAGCCAAACTACTCAAGGTTAGGGTTATTTTTGCATGATGAAACATCAATTCATTCGTGTTTCTGATCAGCAGCCCACAATCTCTGCATCAAAGCGGAATATCACTGGTTGAAGAAACTTAGGGTTCCTGACCAGTGTATCATATTACCTACCGTACAACGAGTTTATCATGCAAATGATCAATCTCGAACTTTACAAATTTGTCGAATGGACCTTATCAACAATTCATGGCAGTGTCGATTAGTCCTTGTTCCCCATGTTATTACCCGAAATTCACGATCCATATTCATTTGACACTTCTCGATTTACATGGAAATCGTATTTCCAACAGTACGGTTCTACCGGGACACCAAAGATATGCATCTTTTTCAACATCCAACATCAAACCAACCAATCGTTATTTGGATTTGGATGTTTTATAAACTGTGAGGAAATCATCGTGCCGAGGTTTTTGCGGATTTCTGTATATTGTAAGATTTGTATGCTTTTTATATACCTAAATCCTATGATGATATATCAATATATACCTAGTTAGTTATATATATTGTATTGATATTACACAATTACAGATCTTGAGAAGGGGGCGCGGGGCGCAAGGGGTTCCCCCTTATGTCTGCGCTCCCAAATACAAGGGCTTTAAAACGACGTGTACAATGCACGCCTAGAGTAGATATTCAATAGTCCAAACTGCAGCCCAACTATCCAAAGCTTCGGAACATCAATTCCTTCTGAATTTTGAATTTATTTTAGGAATTGAAATAATGTTCATCATCAAGTTGATTTGAAACTATACACTTATCAAATTAATAATCGTAAGTTCAGAATCTCAAGAGTCAAAATTAGAATCTTAAAACGGGATGTAGTTCGGGCTATTGGAAACACTGTGCGTGCCCCCGAAATCAATCAGAAGCTTTTAACTTTTTAACTTAGCAATTTATTTGGCACTTGGAATAGAAATACAGCATGACGTTACTGCTCAGAATCAAATCAGACTTTCAATGTTTTCATTGTCTGGTTTGATTTATCTATTTATTTGAATGAATGTGTCGCTTTTTACACCTCTGTAGAGCATACGTATGTGGAAGGCCGAATCTCTTGTAACAATCGTGTTCAAAACCGATTGCATGATTTAAGAGTATATCAGAAACAATTTCTTGACTGCCATCCCAACGCTACGACAGTCTGATACTCCAACGCCTCAATGAACCATGACATATATGTCCAAATTCGCGAACACTAACCTACCCCCACTGTTTTATTACGCCCATCATCCCATTAGAGTCTCACAACTTGCGCTCTATTAATAACCAAAAGCCGTATTCGAACAACCAGATTTGACACACTTTAGACAATAAAGTGGCAGCTTCTCGCAAATCTTGGTGAAAGCTGCGCATTTTGAAAGATCCTTCCAGCCAGCAGTCGTAGCACAGTTCAAGGTGTCTGCATAACAAGCAGCGGCTGATTTTTGGCATGTCAACATGGTGTTGAAAGGAGTAATCTTACCACACCATTTTCCAACTGTCACAGCACATGTTGCCGCTGGGGTTGGGACTACGGTTGGCGTCGGTATAGCCGTCGAAGTTGATTGCTTGACCGTTGTTGAAGTCTTTACAGAGCTTGTGGATGACTTTGCGGAACTAAGCGCAGTGCTTGTGGATTTCAAAGTTGTTGCGGTCCCGGACACAGCAGAAGTTTTGGCAGTTGTGGCGCCACTTGCTGATGTACCACTGGTCTTTGCGCTTGCAGAAGCGCTTTGAGATGAGACTGCGACAGAAGATGACGTTGTGGAACCGGAGGTGAGAGAGCGATACCAATTGGTTCTATCGGTGTCACCCAAACAATCACCAACCGTAACGCCCTTCCATCCTCTAGCCTTGATTTGATCGAAATAGTAGGTGGAAAGGTTGCCAACGGATTGTTGTACAATATCGTGCTGAATAGACAGGTAGTCTTGAACGCCTGTTGCAGCAAGTGCTCTCTGCACAATGTTCTTGGAGTTCTGAATTTGCGATGGCAAGGGGTTTAGATAATCCTGAGTGTCCAAATCGAAATAGACTCTGTGGTATCCAAGAGTTTGCATATCTGCCCAGCATCCTGATGCCTCATTACAATCAGAATAAGGGGGTCTCATGTAAGTTGGCCATTTTCCGATGATGTTATTGAAGGCCATCTCATTTTTCACCATCTGCTGCATTCGAAGGTCGTGTGAAATATTTGAAAGAGAGTAATGACTCCAGGTATGAGATGCAACTTGATGTCCTTCTGCAATCATACGTTGAATCAAAGATGGATATGGAGCGGTGGTATCAATTTCTCCTTTTCCATTGTTGTTGCCGGTGATGAAAAACGTCGCTTGGTAACCATACGACTTTAAGATATCGAGGAGGTCGGATGTATAATTGTATGGACCATCATCGTAGGTAAGAGCTACGACATTATTTTGCACGCAGTCATAGATGTCATCTGTATAGGTGATAGGCCCTATCAATGGTCTTGCAACATTAAGAGTTGATGCTCCGGCAGGCGTTGCATCTGAGTCGCATCTTCCATATCCAAGTGAGCAACTCCCTGGGTCAGAACAATAGTCTTGGGTAGTTCCGCAGTATCCAGAAACTTGTGACGGATTAGTAAGTTAATTGGCTTCTTCGGGACTTGTCTACTCACCACTACAGCATTGGTTTCCTCCACAAGTCGCACCACCAAAGTTTGGACCACAAGTTCCTCCTGTTGCTGGCTCGGCAGCAGCAGTGGTGCAAGTTCCAAATGTAGACTGACACCCTGAGTCGCAATAATCTGTTGTGTTTCCACAATATCCCGACGTAGAACAGCAAAGTCCTCCAGTACAAGAAAGCCCTCCATTGCTCGCTCCACATGTGAAAGTGTTCTCTGATGGTTGGACTGTTGTTCCGGTACAAGTTCCAAAGGCATTTTGGCAACCCGTTCCGCAGTAGTCTAGGTAAGCACAAATTAGTCTATGCAATGTGCAAGTTATTTAGAGATTCGCCAACATACCAGTTGTGTTTCCACAATATCCATAGGCCGAACAGCATCCTCCTGTGTTTACAGTGGCATCACACGAATAGCTATTGTTTGCTCCTGCGAACGAATTTCCGCAAGTGTTGTCTGTACTTATTGTGGCCCGCTTGGAAAGGAAGGCAAGAAAGCCAGGATCTTGGGAATCAGTTCCCTCCACTGGAAACGCAAGACTCATACCGCTGAGCATAAAGCTCGTGGCCAGAGTTAAGAAGAAAGATTTCATCTTGGTCGTTATTAGATTATAAAATAGGCTGTTGGAAAATGTACACTAAAAGAATTGAAATGGATGATGAATGATTGGATATATTATGGAAATGGACGAAATGAAAGAATGCCCGTTCAGAAAAGAATGTCAACGGTCTTATATACCGGAGTAGGGGTAGGGAGGAAGGAAAGTTGAAAGATAATGACGAGAAGCAAGATTTATATAACATTACCATTCCACGGGTCGACACATCAGAAAATGACTCGACAAATCACTACCAAGCTACAAGAATACTACGTAGGACGCCGTCTGTTCTTTGACTACGATTTTTGGGGATGTTTACATGCATCTATGAATTGATTGCCAGAATTATCGCCAAGTTCTGTGGCCAAGGAGGACATGGCGTTGTTAGGCGTCGTCCCGTCTTCTTGGAATGAGTCCGTGGAACCAGATCAAAAGTCCCGATCGGAACGTTTCATGGATTTCATTCGTCGAATATCTCTGAAACACGATTTCATGGAGGCAAAATGGATTAAAATTTAAGGGGTACTGACGGGAGCTTTAAATTGGTGGGGAAGCTTTTCTCTTTCCAGCAAAACTTATTAATAGTGTTTATGCGCAGTCACTATTCCTTTTGGGATATTCGTCCCAACTTCATCGAAGGCGACAACAAATTCGAGTCAATCATTTCTTGAGGTCTAGAATCATACGTACATATATTTGACCTGGCAAGTGACAGGTTTTCTATCTTCCAAATACATGCTTACCTACGAGAAGTTGTCGCTCACGGCCCTAGATAAGTTTCTGCACAGTCTTCAAAAATAAATTCATCTGAACTCAGAAGGGGTCAAAGCATAAGGAAAAATATCTTTTAATCAATTTTATCTCTAATTTATATCCCTTCGCCCAAGTCCAAAAGAATGTGCCCAATCGTGATCATTAACTCGTCAATCTCTCAAATCGTCATTCGTCCGTCTTTTTTCCGTCATTCATCATTCATCCATTACTAGTCATCATTTTGAAGTTGTCTATTGTCCAAATCTAGCCTGAGCTCGTTCATCAATTCTCATCCTCCCTTCAGTGCAGGGACTGATCGAAAAACTCAACATATCGAGGGGCTCTCTATGCCTAAATCATTGGTGTTAGCTTAATTCATGATTGATTGTCACTGAGGGAAGTTTATAAGGCTTACCTGGCAAGCATAGTCGGTGTAGCATTGCTCATCAACCTTTGGCTCATACAAGACAAATCTTGATAGACGGACACAGGTTAAGGCAGTGGTAGAGGTGCTAACAGTAGCGCTACCGACAGTAGCACCAGACTTGGCGATGTAAGCATCCTCGCCAATGACAACAGTTGCCTTGAATGGAGTCGTGGCTTTCCAAGTTCCATCTTCGTAGTCAATGGAGTCGGAAGTGCTGAGGACGGCTGTCTTGCTTGGGATTTGGCCAGCGAGAGACAAAGACTTGGTTGGGTAGTAGTCCATCTCAGCGTAGGCTGCGAAGGTGATGTTGTTGAAGCAGTTAACGAGGTAGTAGATCTGGGTAGAGGCGGCGCTGGCATCGATGGCTGCTGCTGGAATTGCAGCTGGAGCGGCCGAGGTAATAGTGGAGAGGAAGAGGAGGGGGATAGAAGCAATCATGGAGAAACGCATTTTGATGGTTGGTTTGAGAGACTCGAGGAGTGAAAAGTTTGAGAAGGGTTTGTAAGTTATTGTAGAAGATCTTTGAGATGATTGAAGTGTTGTGATGATAGGAAATACTTTGCTGATGAAGCCTCCTTATATACTTTCTTTTGGTAGGAAGATCGATGGATCTCCAAAAAGCTTTTCTCAACCAAGCTTTCCCTACGCGTCGCTGTCCGCAATCGTGGATAGGATGATGCATCATCGCTGTGAATGACTTTATCCTCTCAAGCCACTTTACAACATACGACATGATTTGAGACATTTGCATCAATCAATATTTACTGGGCCTCGATATCATCTTTGGCGCCGAAACGTTCTTCTCGTCTCGGATACCCAAAGGATCAGCTATGAGGATCCTACTGACAACGGCTTTCAGCAGTCCAGAACTGATTTCTCTGGACCACTATCGAATTACGGTCGTCCTATGCACAGAAAGTGCACAATTCAGTTTATCATGGAGCAGGCAGTGGTCCCGATAATCATTCTCAACATTTTCTTACATCATGTCGATATTTTCCAAACAGGCTAGATTGTCCTACTATCCCAGTTCTTCCGTATTATTCCACCAAAGAGAAAGCCAGTTTCGATACCTTCAGCCATTGATGCCCTTATCTGCAGGTCATCGATGTTTATGCAGGGTCGGAATGTGCCCATATCAGGCTAAGCGATGCCCCACTGAACAAGCATATACAGCGGCTTCCGGATCTGCAAGTCGATCGTAACGGCGATGTAGACCACATTCGTATGAACATTTGAAGAAAGACCTCCGAGTTTGGCTGCCAATTAGTCAAGGTTCTTAATTAAAGTGTGAAAATCTCTGCCAACGCGGGTCAAGCCCATGGCTTCCGAACCAATTTTTTATCGAGGCGGTCAAAGCTCCATGTCATCGATGAGAGGATTTTCCATGCTTGTTACAAACTTTGATTCATGATCTTCGAGAACATCAGCCCAGTGGACCAAATTATGTTCTTACGGACTTGAGGAAAACCGGTAATCGGCAAGGTTCCGAATAACCCACGATTGTGATCAAGGATCGTACGGTGACTAAATTGATCCCTACCATCTGCGAGATTGTCATCCTCAGCTGAGAACCGCCAAACAGTTCATGTCTTCACAAGCATGTGAAAAGACAACTACAAGTTAGTTGTCTAAAAGAGGCAGCTATAAATAGCCTATCTCGTGGCGTCAGAGAACAAATCAATAATAGCTGAAATACATGTCGCCAGGAGGTACCCAAACATTATATCGGACCTTGCCGGACACAATCGAATCTATACAAATCCCTCACCGCATGTAACATGTATCTGTGGAAGAGATCGAAACCCCAGTCTAGATCTCAATCCACAAATTTGTATCATATAATCAAGTCAGATTATGGACACATTAACTCGTGTACGTGATCCCAATGTGGACGGGCCCAGAGAAATGTCGCTGTCTTGGCATCGTGTTGTGCAAGTGGATACCACGTCCGAAGAGTTTTCCAATGTAACTACATCCTTTTTGTGAAGTATTGCATGTTCCAAATTAACATCCGTCTTTTCAATCTATGTTGCCAATCTTGACTGCCCATCGATACAATGATACGATATCCTACGGAGCAGATTCGGGGTTTCGGTTTTTCCTATACGTGAAAATCGAATGATCAACGTTTTGGTCTTTCAATGTGTACTTTGGTTCACCAGTCAGTTCTATACTTGCTTTGTGATGATATCACGTCTGAACATACCGTGATGAGTTCCATTCCCTGCCAGTAAGGCATCAATTTTGACTTCAACTCTCCCTCCACCAAAGCAGACATCTTCAGCAATTGAGAGGCAATGCTAAAGGTTGCATTTAGCTTTAAGAGATAGCGTCTTTATTCATGATCTTTAGTATTCCAGGAAAGACGTCTAATTATATCCACAGGCGTCGAAACCGATACCCATGATGTAACATCCAAGAAGTCTTAGCACTTCTCCTAGCTCGTCGGTTTTGAGATTTGGTGCTTACATCAAATCGTTTCTTAGATCTGGATACGATACCATCGCAGACCAGATACCAATTTCACCCCACAGTTAGTGTGCTACCCGTTGTAGCATCAGACGGCACGGCAGAACCATTACACTGGGGAAAGATCGAGATGATGGGCAGGGGATTCTCGATGGTGCTACCATGGCAGTCAAGCAGGATGGAGAGGAGCGGCTTGGACCGACTATGCTTGAAAGATGAAAATGCGGCAGAGAACCTTTTAAAAATTTGAGTTCTATAGCGGTAGTTAGTCAGGGTTGTGGTGTTTCGCTACTTTCAAGTTTGAAGATGAAATACACACCAATAGTACAGAGCTGATGATTTACATAACGTAAGTTATTGAGCAGTCTGCAACTTCCCGTATTAGCTGAATTAACACTGGATATAAATTTACCAAAGTTAGCCACCTAGATAGGTTGCAATTCTAGCTCAAATTGATAAAAGTAATCCATTGCTGCCATCGATTAGCACTCAGACTCTCATGAAAATGTAGTGAATTGGCTATGCCATCAAGCAGGAACTTCACAAATTTAGTAACTAGAATAACTTGATAAGCATAATAGGAATGTTAATTATATGTATTCTTTCCTTACCTTCAATCTCTTTCCATTGCTCTTTTGTGGATTGCTGTGTCTGAATTTTATTTTAGTATTCGTAAGTGTTGTAAACTTGGTTGCTGGCACATTTCTCCAGAGGACTGAAGGAGCGCTATTTGCTGGGCAAAAGGTGTTTAGATCATTTACATATTTTCACATGTGTTGGGGACAAAGGAGTAGTGTTTCCATGGGGAGATTCAAAGAAGTAATCTCATCCTATAGTCATATACTCATATACGACTTGGTTATGTCATTCACAAGAAGTTCTACGATAATTCGAGAAAAATACCCAGTTTGTATTGATGCAGAACTAACTAGGTGTATAAAATACGAAGAAAAAAAAGTAATTTATTTGTGCCGAATGTCTGTACTGTACTTTACAAGAATTCGAAAATAAGAACGATACATTTAGAAGTTACAAATTAAACATTACAAATTCAACATTACAATTAAACATTACAAATAAACAAAACTCCAGTGTCAATACAGGGTATCGCTAGCCCATCAGAACGCCGCATACAAAAATATACAAAAGAAAAATACAAAATGCCAAATTGACTACAACATTAACAACACAGTACAGTACAGGCCATTCGCTACGCTGAACGGTGTCTTGAACCCTCCTCATCTCCTTCACATACCGATACAGCACGATATCAACCGTAGCCCGGGCTAGAGACTTAGAGAGACAAGATAACCGTTTAAAAATTGACAAAAGATTCGTCAAGATTACTCAACCAGGCAAAATCATCCGCTGACAACAATTCCTCAAAACTAGTATTAACAGACGAGAAAGAATCCGAAGTAGGAGGAAGGGAAGAAGATGAAGGTGGAGTCGGATAGGCAGAAGAAGCGGCAACGTTAAGTGAATTATCAATTTCACCGCCATAGAGTTCCTCATTTTCAAATGAGCTGGGATACTCATGGAATTGCCGGTTCTCACCATTGATATCCGATCCGCCGACATCAGGGTTAGAGAGACCAGGAGGGTAGAGAGCCGGGCAAGGGCTGGTCAATAGATAGCGGGGAGGGGAGACGAAACCAGGCCCAATCTCACCCGCAAAAGCGGGAAGAGGAAGGGCTTGGTCAAATTGACTGACCTCCATGCGTCTTTTGGCGGCTGGCCCTTCTTCAACATCTCCTTCGACTGGCAGCTCCCTCTTTCCCTTTTTTCTTCCCCTACAAGTACTACAACAGCCAACTATCATTGCCCCAATGGTCCTCTTGGGGAGATACTTTTTTGAGCCTACGCTTAAAAAACATTTGTCCCTGCCAACGTGGCTAGGCAAATGTCTCTCTGCGAAGAGAGCCCAAAACTCCTCGCCTGGTACTACTAGCTTCCATTCCACCTTGTCTTTATCTCCCCCTTTCGGTACATACTTCTCCAGAAGCCTGCCACCCTCAACGGCGCGTCCGTACTTCAACTCATTCTTGTACGATGCCGGAGTTCCCTTGTAGCCCTCTGGTACGTCCAAAATGACGCCGGGGTCAGCATCAATTGTTGCCTTGTCCCGGATCATCTTTTCCAGTCGCGACCGCGGTGGCAGGAACGAATTGGGATCCTTCGTCTTTTTATCCTCGACGAAAGATTCGATCAATGCATTCCTCCATGCTGGAAAGGACAATTTACCAAGGTCTAACAAGGGGTTGGGGTCGGTAAAATTTATAACGTCAACGTGCCGAGTAAAAATGACCCTTCGCTCTTCTGGGGAAAGATTCGAAGTCATCTGTTTGTATTTGATATTAGCAGTTATTCCAATCAATGTAGTACATTAAAAACACTCGAATGCTTGAACAATTTGGTAGAATTAAGACAATGAAAGCTTTTAATTGTCGACGTGTAATACGGACAATTGGAAGGCTTCCAATGTTTGACAGCAACAAAATATTTCAATCGTCTAAAAGAGTTCAGAGAATGAGAGCTTCATATTGTTGGATTACAATCTGAACAATTGGAAGCTCTGAGTGTTTGACAACAATACAATATTCCAATCCAGCTCATTGTTTCCAACCATGTCAATCCTCTAATTGACTTTAGAGCATGAATGCTTTACATTGTTGAATTGTGATATGAATAATTGAATGACCTGAATGCTTCTCGACAATATAATGTTCAAAATGAATTTATTGTTTCAAACAATTTCAATCATGCAATCAAATACAGAGAACAAGAGCTACAACATATAGTTGGGAGCCTTTGCATCATGACGTTTAGTCTAAACATTGAAATACTACTTCCAACTGCAGCGTGAGATACAACCAAGGTAGCAGAGGAATAAGTTGAATGGATCGAATGGCAGCCAATAACAAAAGAACAATTTCGCTATACAACACCAAATTCTTTCAAGTACAGATACATTTGTTTCATCCCCATTATATTAATTCTTCTCATCGTACAATAAACATGCCATCGAACAATTTCAATTGCGCTCCTCGCCAGGAGCTCTCGCGTAATGTATCAAGCCTGAACCATCAGGCGTGAAAGCCAGAGGTCTAACTCGCGTAATATACACTCATCCCCTGATGTACACGACGAAGTATGTTCTTGATGGGGATCCATTATAGAAGACAGCACAACAATTGAACAACAATACCAAGTGTGAAGTATAAAGCAAAAGTATACTAACAATGATCAAGATATCTTACATAAGCCTCTCAACTTCAGCTTCCACTAAGGACCTAGACTAGAAGACTAGCGCGATCTATGTGATCACGTGTTTTGCACGAATTCCCACCAACAACCTCCAAAAAAGATTGAATATACTTGAAGGCACCTCAGCCTGATGTGAAAGGCTGAGTATACCACTGGGTGTATTGAAAGCCTCCAAAAAGCCAACAATTGTAAAATAGCTACAAGCAAGCTATGTACTGTCTGAACAACTCAAATTGACTTGAAGGTGTCTAATGATCCAAAAAATTCATTTGTAAAGACAGAAATGCATCAGAGAGGCTCCAATGCTATTATTTCGCAAAAATACGCAATAAAAGTGAAGTGCAACGAAACGTAAGGAGCAAAGTGAAAAATGTATCTTACTTTGTCTGAAGTTATCCACCAGCTATATTACACTCTTAATCGGTTCGAGAATTTGGCGATGGGAGGGCGAATTCGATGTCCGGGGTAATCTGAAGAGAATCATAAGCAACTGTCTAGAGAATGGGTGGAATTGACAAGGAAGGAGCGATGTGGTCAATATTGAGAGTGTGAGGGTTCTTACCTTGGGCAGCTTGCGCAAGTAGCTGTTATGATAATAGTCGGGAGGAAATTGCCAAAAGTGGGCAGAGAGTGTGTATTGTACTTGGGATCTCAAAGCGAACGTGAATATTGTTCTGGGAATTGAAGAATATTGGAGCTGGCTTTCTGAAGATTTTGGGTACAATTTTCGAAAGAGAAAGAGAATAAGAAACCGAGGGGAAGAATTCATTTTTAAATGGATTTGAATATGGTGTGTGAGTACTATATTAGTCTAGAATTTGCATTATACTTTTTTGATTTGAATGATTATGTGGCATTTGGCATATATCATATTTTTTCTGGTAGGTGTCGATCGTCGAGCTTGGGGGGTGAGCTATTCTGGTCATGACTGGAAATGGCATAGTATACATTAATTGGACCATCCAATGGCAGCTTCCCAGCAATGCTGCAATAGCCTTAGGCTAGCGAACATATACAGGCCTACAAGGAAGGAAGGAGCATGCTGGTGTATAAGGAAGGGGACAATCGCAGAGTAGAAAGACAGGATATGTAGAGCTCATTATCAGCCTTTATCTCCTTTGAGGATTTTAAAAACTGAGATTAGATTACCATTTGCTATAGATAGCGTCTAAGAGCTCTCCGTACAGAGCATTTAAAGTTCTACGAAACCTCCGCTCACACACACACCCCTCTATACCTACGATGCCTATAAACCAAGAACACAAATGCAAGAGCCATACAACACAACATATTGTAACGTCTAACTGACAGTTAGGCTCGAGGAAATTATCTGAACCCATTAACTGCCGTCATGTAGTGAGATATTATACACGCGGCACACTACGACGGTTCAAATTCACAACTGGTGACACTCAGTGCCTGTCTTTGGTCCACAACTACAACTAAAAGAGATACACTGCACAACACCTTGTAAAGATTAACTGAAGAACTCGTCTCAAGATATATCTGCGAACGATCAACACACGCCTTTATTGTTGGAAATAGCATGTAGCATGTGACAATGGCTAATTGAATGACAATGCTTAGGAACTACTCCAGGACTACGATCACAGCGACAGCAAAGACACGTTCGACGAAAGATCGAAACAATTAGTTCTCCGATTAGCTACAAGATATCTGCGAGTCACAATCACACAAGAGAACAATGGCACACGGCATCCCAATACTTAGTCCGACAGCAAGACTTGAAGAGCACCCTCGAAGCACAATCGCACAGACAGGAAAGAAATTAGACGAATACTCGCGATGATTGGACGAGAGACATGAAACAGCTTCATTAATACACAATGATATATAAATGTATAGGATTGCATATGATAGAACGTGTCGCCTATGCCCCTGTGTCTCAGGGGCTTTTCGTGCTGGTAATATCCATACAAAACCGCCGCTTTTTCTCTGCGGACCCAATATGCAATAGCTGTAGTGAAAGCAATCTCACAGTCGTAGGAATTACAAGATAGCAATATACATCACTTTTCAATATACCAGCTCGTTGAATTTGAATTGTTCATGGGACTAATACTCTCACAACTACAGTGAATAGATATCTATTCGCAAGCCATCGAGCATGAACATGCACGGGAGCAGAATCAGATACTTCCGCTACCATACACAAAACTCTCGGAAATACTGATGCCCAAATGAATATTATCTACCAATCTACATGCTAGTTCTGCGATGTCCTCTCCTCGAAGTATATCAACATCCCATAGATCTGAACTCAACTTCATAAAATACAAAAACCTCATGCATGAGCCTCTCCAGGCTTCTTCCACTATTATGCTCTCCTCTTCAGGCTTCTCAATCTCAGCAGGTACCAACTGCACCATCTCCGAAGCCCACACGCCTATAAACCACTGCAGACCCCCTGAAGCCCCCTTACACACACATCTCCCCCTGAAACTCCCAGCAAAAGAAACTCTTCCAAAATCGAATCGCTTGTTTTTGAAAAAGCTTATATTACTACTAGTGTCGCTAGTACATGAAACTGGTCTTCGACTACTGAGAGAAATTTGATGAAGATCATGAGATGATGTGATATCGAAGCGTCATGGTGAGTGTAGAGGGAAAAAGTTAATCTTTTGTTTGGGACAGGTGGCTTTTTGATTTGAAACGTGCGGTTTAGGAAGTTGATTCTCCGGTTCGCCGTGGAAGGGCGGGGAATGTCGGAGAATGGGAGAGAATGGTGGTAAAGGGTGGATGTAGAGAAGAGAGGGTAGAGAGTAGAGATAGAGAAGAGAGAGTAGAGGCAGAGTGTAGAGAGGATAGGGTGAAGAGAGTGTGAGGTAAAGAGTAGACAATAGGAGTAGAGAGCAGACATTAGAGGATAGCAAGCATATATACAGTAGATATGGATTTCTAACGATAAGTAGAAACATAACAAATAACACACCGATCATGAGTCTGAACACTCAGTCGAACTAACCATACACACCACCAAATTCATCAACAACAGAGACTTGATTGACCGATTTGAAAGAATTTACTTTTGATATTCGATTTGATACAGCTTCTCACCCCTATCCTCACTGAGCTCATGCTCTACCAGCGACATCCATAATCATATACTTCAGAACCCGAGTCTGATTGCTACAATCCAGAACGCGGGGGAAGGGGGACGAGGGGGTGTGGCACATGTGACTCGTTCTTTTTCCCCACAAGGGGGTATGGACTTATCTCCGACTTTTACTAAGCTTGGTGTGTACACACATACACAACTGCGATGAGAAAACTCTGCAATCTATTTACAAAAGGAACAATTTCAGAACATAGTCAGAACATGGAGAATATCAATGTTGAACGAAAAGATGACATTCAATTAAGCGACAATTTGTTTCAACGAACATGAACAAGAGTCTAAAGACTGGTTGTTTGTAATTTTCTACCTAAGACTGCCATTACTTTATCGAACTATTTACGAGATTACAGCCTGGAGTACCATTTTGTTCTGCCTTTCCAAACGCGGAAATTCATCAAAAGTCGTGGATTTTACGGTTGAGTGTTCTCCCCTATAACCCTTGGCAACACTGCAGTGTTCGATTTCATGATTGATGAGCTTGATTGTATCTACTCGCTATCCGAATCCAACTGCATTGTAAGATGCACACTGCCATCTGAATCCGAATCTGACTCTTCAGCATCATCGTAGCTCATAGCAGTATCCGCATTCATTGTGCGCTGATCCAAAGGTTGAGGGTTGGTAAACCTAGCGGCTGGAATCTCCGAAGACAAAGCAGATTGTTCAAACCCGGACTGACTTGGCAGATCTTCTCGGCTACCAGCATTTAATCCAGCACTGAAATTTTCCCTCAGTGGGGTCGGAAATTCGTTTTCCGGAATCGACTGAAGATTTTGTGCATCAACAGCAACATCTTTTTGGCTGACAACGACCTCATCAGTGCTATCCATAATGTCATCTTCGGTATCGAGAATTTCTGGAAGATCATCGAGTACTGCGGTAGTATGTGCAGCAGGTATGATCGGCATGCGGGGGCGTAAAAGAATTTCCACGCA